TAAGCTCAATTTATATTATTTATGACTGACTATTTTTCTAAGTAGGTGGAAGCCCAAGCATAAGAGAAGGTCGGGGAGAAGGAAGTCATCGATTTCATTTGGGACAGCATCATATGCTGGTTCGAAATGCCGGACGAGATCATGTGCGACAATGGGAAACAATTCATCGGTAGCAAAGTAAGCAAGTTTCTTGAAGACCACAAGATCAAAAGGATCCTATCAACACCCTACCACCCTAGTGAGAATAGACAAGAAGAATCGACCAACAAAACCATACTCCAAAACCTCAAAAAGAGATTAACCGGCACCAAAGGAAAATGGAAGGAAATCATGCCCGAAGTCTTATGGGCATTCCGTATGGCCTCGAAATCCAGCACCGGGACCACCCCGTTCTCGCTAGTTTACGGCGCCAAAGCCCTAATACTGGTTAAAGTCGGAGAACCAAGTCTCAGGTTTTGATACGCAACAAAGGAATCGAATGTCGAGGCCATGAATACGAGCCCGAAGCTACTAGACGAAAGGTGCAAAGCCACCCTTGTTCGGTTGGCCGCCCAAAAACAACGGATTGAGAGATATTACAACCGAAGGGCCAACCTTCGACACTTTAATGTCGGGGACTTAGTGCTAAGAAAGGTCACACTAAGCATCTGAAACCCGAATGAAAGGAAGACGGGGACAAACTAGAAAGGACCATATCAAATTATTGAGATGACCGAAAAGGGATCCTACAAACTCGGAACAATGAACGCGAGAAACTACGAACAATTTGAATATAACTCACTTGAAACGATATTACTGCTAAGGTAACCAACAAGGAGCGATACAAATTTTAGGTTTGAGAGCATGCGTTGCACTCTTTTTCCCTTGAACTGGTTTTGTCCCAAATGCGTTTTCCGACAAGATTTTTAACGATGCAATAGTGGATCGTGCTAACTTACAATAGAAGACCGGTAATAAATCGGTGTCAAAGATCACATCAACAATATCTGATGCTTCTCTCTATGATCAACCTCGAATACTTGGGGGCATTACCCTCGGATATCGACTATAACAAGGAAAGAAACTTCGTGATTGAATGGTCTCGACTCAATCGATAGGATTTATTGTATGGGCCAAATGGTCAAATGAACCTTGCCCTCATAAACTGCTCGATCCCTGGCATAAAACATGTACACATGTGTAACTAGTACACACAAGAATAAAAAGAAGTCTCTTCCTTGGGGATATATCTTGTCCCTTAAATTTTTTCTTGCATTTCTTGATGAATTTCCAACATCCGACCCCCTAAAGGTATCGATCCCAAGGGCCAATTTAATCTGAGTTCAAATGATCACTCTTTCTCAGGGACTACAGTCCGAAGACAAACTCGAATGGTCTGGGCTATCGGAGCTCGGTGGCACAAAACCTATTTTGCAATGCCTGAATTTTAAAGGATACGGCCATCCCCATTCAGGGACTATTATCTTAGGCAAGTCCAGATAACTTAAGGTAACAAGCCCACAAGGCAACACCTAAACTAAATAGGCTACGACTATATTAAAATGGCTAGGAGACATTCGAAATCCGTAACAAAAAACAATGCCTTAAACAAAATAATGTTGTAGGTAAGGCCTGTTTGAACCTCCGAACATAACCTAACTATTTCATGCTTAGACATTTCAATCTTTGAAATTAAATAATAAAGCAAAGGAAAAACTTAAAAACTGCTGAAGGAAAAAAGCTTCATATACATATCAAAAGATTTTTTATGAGGGCCAAAACGGCCTCGATACAAATTTTTACAAAGGACAAACGACATTAACAAAAAAGAAAGAAAAGTACACAAGTACAAATATACAAAAAACAACTAAAAAATGTACAAGGCATTTAAACGGCCTAGTTTCCACCGGTGCCCACCTCGTCACCAGGAGCTTCAGTGTCTCCTCCACCCTCGGATCCGCTCAAACTCTCGAAGCCTTCATCATCCTCAAGATAAGCCAACCTCTTGGCCTGGGTTTCGAGCCCATTAGCACTCTCGATTTCAGCCGACAGGTCGAAACCCCGAGTATGAATCTCCTCAAGAGCCTCCCTTCTGGACTGCCGCTTCGCGTGCTCGACTATATCTTCGCTCGATCCAGAGCTGCCTCGGCGTTGGCCTTATATTGGGCCACCATCTCGTCAGCATCAGATTTAAACACCACGGCCACCGACTTGGCTGTTTCAAGCTCATTGGCCAAAGTTTCTCGATTAAGGGCGGCAGAACTCAGCTGAGACTGGAGTTCCTCAATCTTTTTGGCCTGCACCACGACGTTTGCCTTTGTTGCCCGAAGTTGGACCTCAGCAGAAGCCAACTGTGCCCTGGCAGTTTCCTTTTTCAAGGCCAAACGATCTATTTTGCTTTTCCTTTCTTTGACCTCGACCTTTATCACATCTATCTCTGCCCGAAATTGGTCGATTTCATCAAGATTATATTTGACCTGTGGGTTCGAAGCGTTAGTCACTGAGTCTAGTTCATCGTCACTAACCTCAAAGGCTTTTACCTTTTCCACTATGTCGGTGTGCTCCTTCTGAGTCGCCTCTAGCTCAGGCCGAATGCTCTTAACCTCCCCCTCACGTTGCTTGCTGAGAAGTTTGTAAGCATCCCTCTTCTTAATGAGCCCTCGAATCTCGGCCTCATATTTGTTTAGCTCTTCCTGATATCGGAGAAAAGTCTCGTGATGAAGCACCGAGGCCTACAAACAAAAAGGAAAAAGTTATGATTATCTACAAATTAATCTAAGTACAGATTAGAAATCATCAAGAGGCATGTAAAGTTACTCAGTTTAACGCCTGTTGTGCTTCATTGAACAGACAGGGCTCGTCCACCTCGTTCATCTTGGATTGGTCCTCCTCGGTCACCAGGCACCGAAGATAACTGGCCATGTCTACAGGGGCAGGGAGGACCGGGGCATCCTCCGGAATAGACATAATAATCGATCGCTTCCGGTCAGGATTCACACTTGGAGCTGGGAACCGGTTGACTAGTTTCAGGCTTGAGGAAGGCTTACTTTTCCCGAAGATGGACTCTTCCTTGGCACCGCTAAGTCATCCAACCGGGTGATGTCCTCCATGGCGGTAGAGTCTACGCCATCAAAAAAGTTGTGGAAGGGGTCTGCCGCCCCTTTGGGCCGCTTGTTGGGGAATCCTTTCATCATCTAAGCCTCGTTAAACATGGACTCAGTAAACGAAGGCAACTCAGAGGGGTCTATCACACCAAGTATATCCTTCAGGGCATTGCCCACCACACTAGAAGCACCGTCCACGACCTCCTTGTCGGCCTCTCTAACTTGAGGTAAAATGTCCTCGCCTCCCTCTGGTTTGAAAGCCTTGGCCACGACCTCCCTGAGTTGAGGCAACTCAACTTCTCCTTTGGTTTGGAGGCTCCTTGACCCTCGAGCTGCGACAACTCTCTGGCCAACAGATCAAACTCTTCTTTTTCTTCGGACTTGTCCTCAGCCGGTGGAGTGAGTCCGGTGAGAGCGCTCCGTTGCTGGTTCTTTCTTTGGATTTGCACACCAGCTTTCTCCTCGATTTTTTCTTCTTCGGGTTCGGAGAACTCGGAGCCCTTTTCTCTTCTTCTCCTCACCCTATCTTGAAGTAGAGGACTATGCAGGGCAATCCTCATCATCGGATGGAGGCCTCAGTGTGACGTCCTTGAATAAACCTGCAAAGGGAAACGAAAAAAGTAAGAACTCAGCGACATAAAAGAAACCCAAGTATTACTCACTCAAGAAAGGAATCTCACCATGAGAACGGGCCTCTCACCAGCCCTTCGAGAGTTCACGCCATGCACACTCGGAATATGACTTTTGTGACATGATGCCCTCGATCCACTCCTTGAGTCTAGGAACTGCATTCGGGAGCAACAATAGCATTACCACTAAGCACCGATAAGAAGAAAGGGAAAAAGAGTAAAATGAAATATTGAAAAATGATATTTTACTTATGTTTTGCATTCTACTTCTCGAAGAATGGCATGCGATCAGCTGGAATCAGGTCCAAGGTCCTCACTTGTAAAAAATGGCCTAGCCATCCTCGATCCCGATCTTCATTGATACTCGAGAAAGGGGCTTTACTAGCCCGACGCGCGAGCTT